GGAGGCTGAAGACGATGCTTTGGCAGCTGCAGTGGACTGAGTACCACTACAAGCCTATTATAGTGTGCTGCAGGGACTTAGCTGTGAGACATGATTGGGCAGAGTCATCGTGACTTTGCCCAATTATGGCTCTATGTTTGTACTGAGCCCTGATTGGCACAGTCTTACACCTGACCTGTGGTCAGGTGCAAGACTGTAGCCAATTACCGTTTTGGACGGCGCAGTGTATTGTGGGATGTCCGCGGACATCCCATAATGTTCGTTGTACGGCGAACGCTCGAACATGCTATGTTCGAGTCGAACATAAGTTCGACTCGAACGCGAAGCTCATCCCTACTAAATACATACTATGTATAAATACATACGTAAAAGCACTGTGATTTGTGCTTTTAGGATGTGTTTGACAGTGTTAAAAAATGTGAAGATGTTCTTTTGATTTGAGCACCCTTCTTCTCTATGTGGCTGTACACTATAAAGAGGGTGACAGCCCTTGAACCTATTTAGACTCTGGGCCACTGGCACATTTGAAGTGAATATCGTGACACTCGTGACACCCACACTGAAATATTTCCTTCTTGTAAATTACACCAAATTACCCTGCCCTTCATAAAAAAAAAATCATATCGCAACTTGCTGCAAGCAAGAGGAAGCCGTTCCCTAAAGCTGGCTATGTCCAGTTCTTGATGAATTTGTTCCATGTACAGAAAGTTTTAGTCTCTTTGCCTCAACTTTGTCATAAGGTGAGAAGCAGCAGCATTAATCTGTTTATGAACACAGGAACTGCATATGTACCGCGATTTTTATTATTATCAGTGCCGTCCCTTTAATGAGGCAGCCTGAAGCTGTTTTCTCTGTGGATCACATGAGAGGGTGGCAGGTAGGCATGGGCTCGATGTTTGAGTCGATTGTGAGTTTGACTCGAACATCGGCAGTTTGTGTGTTCGGCGAACACGTGAAATGTCAGGGCGTTCGGCGGGCAAACTGCGACTTGTGAAGCCCTGATTGGCTAAAGCCTTGCAAGCCTTTGACCAATCAGGGCCCAGTACTCTGTAAGAGCCATGATTGGGCAAAGTCAAGATGACTTTGTCCAATCATGGCTCACCTATCAGATGCCGGGTCGTCATTAAAAAAAAAAAATATTTCTAATTATTTTTTATTGTTTTATTTTTTATTTCGTCGAGTCGTCGTGAATAACACTGGACATCGTGATTGACCCTGGACTACATCAGTGGATCAATTTTTTGGTGTTTTCTTTAAAAAAATATATATATATTGACCCAGACCTCCCATTTAGTAATCAGTCTGGAAAGGACATTGTGAAACTTTCTTCAGAACAGGAAAAGGTAGAGCTCTGCAACGAGGATTTGTTAAAATCCTTGCTATGCACATTATTTACCCTGAGGGGGATTTTGTTCGCAGCATAAAAAAATGTAAATGCTCCTGTGATTGGCATAACTAATTCCATGTCCAACTAGTCCACAGTTTCACAGGTTTAACAGTTTCTATCTTCTTCTAGTTGCAAGGTGTGGCCTCATGTCTTTTGTTGTTACTTCAAATCAAAGTGTTTTCCTCTGAATTTGATAGGCCATTTATATTTTTTGAAATGGTGATCACATCTCACCTTTTTCTCCTTTTCAAAAGTTGATAGATTCAGTTCTTTTGACTAACTGATATTTGCCATGCCATTTTTTAACTGAGTAACTTAAAACGAGTAGCTGTAGACAGTTAACAGTTTTACCAGCTATCTTTGCAATAGAATAGCAAGCACTGTGCAAACCCTCCACTAAAGCACATACAGCACCAGCATGTGTTACACAACTTATTTCTGTATTAATTCATTTTTTAATATGTATTAATTTTCTTTTATATTTTAATAGGTGATTTCTAAAGGCTCCATACAACATTATGGATCTTTTAAAATCAGCACAGAAAATAAAAATGAAGGTAAGATAAATAAATGCATGCTTATATATTTCAAGCATAATAAAAGGTGGCCCACCTCCCATGTAAAATCACATTTTTAGAGAAAAAAACCCATAGAGAAAAGTTAACAAATATGCTTAGCTTTCAACTAGCTTCTGCCCGATGTGACAACATATGACTGATGTTATGATCTATCCAGCGAGATCCTGGGAACCATGAGACCAACCATGAGATGCTCCTGCTTTCCTAAAATGTTGCCCGTGACATCAGCTCCCACTCCTGTGCAGAAGTCAGGTCTAAGGCATGAATATTTTTAAACGTTTCTCCACAGGTTTTTTTCCCCTAAAAGGGTTAACCACTACTTAATAAGCCGACCTTGCATTCTGGTTCACAGACCTTTGGTGCAGTTGCCCTTATTTTGTAGTCCCTGTCCACCCTTTAGCTCCCCCACCACCTAGCGTTGTACTCACTTGTCTCAATCCTGCAAGATATCTCCTTTATAGGTGATGCATGATCTTTTGTTAAAATCTTCTCAGCCAAGCCTGTGCATGTGCCCTGCACTTAGGGTTGCCACCTGTCCAGGATTCACCCGGACAGTCCGGGTTTTGAATGCTGTGTTCGGGTTTCATGGCAGCAGAAACCCGGACACAAGATGCCAGGCAGACAGGAGCAACCAAAATTAAGATAGTGGCTACTGACCCCCCACTGAAAATAGTTTTAACTGTGATATTTACATATGAATGGGTGGCGCTATTTACATAATAATAAGCTGCGACTCATTCTCCCCCCAAAAAATGTCTGTGTGTTGCTGGAGTGTTCGGTTTTCGCTTGAAGAAAAGGTGGCAACCCTAACTGCACTCCTATTCAGTCCTACGGAGAGTTAGTCCAAGCTATGAGCTCATACTCCAGAGCTCTCCATATGACTGAATTAGACTGCAGAGCATGGGTCTGGCTGGGAAGATTTTACAAGATACTCTGTGGCACCACAAAGACCATACAGTACATCTAATTTCTTGCTGTGTCTGCACCTAATTTTAAACATCATGTGGGCATTAACAATATCTGTGCAACTAATACACATAGAATGATCAGTCTGCCTCTTTGTGTGCCCTTCATCTGCTGCAGATCATCATGACAAGGCCACACTGAAGCTCTCCTTAAGTGCAGGGACATCTTCAACGTTTCGAGCACTTGTGTATACCATATTACCAGATGGAGATATTTTGGCCGACTCAGCAAACTATAAAGTACAGCAATGCTTGCAGAATAAAGTGAGTGGTCTGACCTTAAAGCTTAGTCTGTGTTCCGTGGTCTATGAAAACCTAAGGTCCAATTTATGCTGAAATATTTGATTATTTTTTGGATAGAGTGGAGAAGGGTTAAATTCCTGTCAGGTTTTAAATGTCTATCACACACACAATTAATGTATCTTCTGTTCCTGACTTGTCTGACACTTGTTATATGGCAAGGGAGTATGGAGAATTTTCCCTCTTAAAGGAGAACTATGGGGTTAGGGCTTTTCCCCATAGTTTTTTTAGGGTAATGGAAGGACACAAACTAGTGTCCTCCCATCACCCTAAGCTCAGTATACCGCGAGCTACAGCTAGCGGTACACTGAGACGCCGCAGTATACCACAAACTACAGCTCGCGGTATACTGAGACGCCGCAGCTGAAGCGGATCCCAACAATTATGTACCCGCCTCGTGTGTTCCGCCAGTCAGCACTGGAGGATCAGAGTGGGGAGGGGGGAATCCAGTCCCTCCCCTGTAACGGGATAGAGCCATGACTGGATCGAGAAGAGAGCGAACGCCGGTATGTGTTCGCTCACTTCCCGATCTACTGAGCCGACCTGTGACAGTTTCATTGTCACAGGTCGGCTAGAACTATGAGGATGAGTGAAAAGCACTCACCTAATAGTTCTACTTTAAGGGCACAAACAGGCATAGAATGGTAATAGAGGTAGTAACTAGGGATGCACAGATATATCGTCTGCCAAAACATATCACCCGTAAATGGCAATTTTTGCCTGAGATAGTGGTGCATCTGTGATTTCTCTCCTCCCTGCTCTGTGTCCCAGCGGGGAGGAGAGCAACTGTCACAGGAGGCCTCAGCCTCAGGTCAGGAGAGCTGTGGTGTGGGCGGAGACAGCCATTGCTGTCACAGGAGGCTCAGCTCTCCTCCCACACTGCCCTGCCCAGCCTCCTGTAACAGCGGGTCAGGATGGAGAGCGGTGTGTGGGCGGAGACAGCTGTCATTGCTGTCACAGGAGGCTGAGCTCTCCTCCCACACCGGCCTGCCCAGCCTCTTGTGACAGTGTGTCAGGATGGAGATCGGGTATAAACACTCAGTGATCACACTGACTGAATTGCTCACTGCTTGTAAAGGATAGAGTATGTTTACTGTGTCCGCCAATTATGAATGAATGGGAGTGATCTACAGCACTTCTTGTTCATTCATGATTGTGGATATAGTAAACATACTCTGTCCACAAGTTATGAAAGGCAGGGCCGGCCTTAGGCCTTTAGGCGCCCTGTGCGAGAAAGCTTTACAGCGCCCCTCAGTGACCATACCCCTCAGTGGCCACACCACCAGTAACCACACCCATTTTCCCCAATATCTGCACCATTTAAAGACTCCTATTTTGTTAAGCCCCAAAGAAACATATTAAAAAGTATGATAAAAATAAAACTTTTATTCGAAGGTATTAAACCTGTAGGCACAATATCAGTATTCTTATTAAATAAAACTACAGTAGGCAAACAAGTGATAAACAATAAATGTCAAACTAAAATAGAGTCTATAAAAATAAAGTGTCAGGATTTCATGCCAACACCCTTTTTTAAAGTAAGTATATCTAGAAAAGTAAAAATAAAAAAACAGAACACAAAATCTAGACTACTTGTAAAATTAACGAATTACTATATTTCCGAATATACGAAAAATTTATTCGGGCACATAATAATTTGTTTGAGAATGTTTGAGAATGTGCGGTGGCCATGTTGGCCACCGGCATGTTCTGTGAATGCGTGCCACCATCTTGGAGGCGGGGAGCATGACGTTACACGCCGATATTGGCGCCGCCATCTTGGTGTATACCTAGATATACACCAAGATGGCGGCGCCCAACATGTGCGGTGTTATATGATGTCATGCACCCTGCCTCCAGAACACGCCAATGGCTGAATCCAAAATGCATAACAAATAGTTTTGTTTGATGAAAGGAATGAAAACATTTTACATTTTCGTTCATTTCATCTGAAATGAATTTTTAGTCCTCGCACATGTCTAATAATATGTGTGCGTGGGGGGGGGGTCATTTTCACTTTTTTAAAATAATTTTTTACATTTTTTATTATTTTTAATTTTTATTATTTATTTATTTTTTACGGTTGGGGGGCTTCGGGGAAATATTGGGGGTCCAAACAGACCCCTGACATTTCCATTTTAAAATAGAAAAGAAATTGAGGACAC